TGGATATGCCATCAGGCAGGGTGCACCATTCCTTAAATGCCCCATGGTCCCGCGTCTCTATCTAACAACAACCGGGTGGACTCCAATGGAGACGATCAGTGGAATGTAGATAGTGGACAAATTCAGGATCTGAACAGTGTGGGTTCCTTCGAAGAAGAGCGAATTAGTCTGTGAACATTGGACACGGGACTAGAATTTGTTGTCCAAAGTTAATCCAAAAAAACAACAATTCCGAAACCGCCCAAAGAGCAAAACCCGGCCTGTAACCACCATCGCCCGCTCGCCTAACGGTTGGTTGTCCCATTTCGAAGTCCAAAACGGTTGTGGCCGATCGTGCCTTTAAGAGGTGAATAAAAAAAGTAACGCACTGAAACCAGTGCTGCCCCGCAATTGTTCTACCTACTGAAATGATTCATTTCAAATGGATCGATCGTCCAAACGACGCATGACGCGTGGTCACAAGGTACCCCAAGGTTTAGTTGTAGGGGTGTGAAGTAAGTTGGTGACAAAGTATCTTCACCTGCGAGACACTTGAAGCAAGCTCCTAACAAACATGATGACTGTCAAGTGCGAGGGACTTGCAAACGGGGCCGGCTGCTTTTCCTTGCAATCTGCGCGTTGGTTGTGAGTGACTGGCATCCAGGGACCAAGCCTTAGCTTCCACGGTTTCCACATTATGACTTGTGCATCTTGAGCTATTCTCACACCAAAAATGATTCATCAGCCCACCAAATTCCTCTCCTGGTACAGGTAGGACCTGGTTGGTTTCTCCGCAAGTCCGCAACCACCGCAGCCACCAAGCGCAGCCACCTTCGACGCCGCCGGCCTCAAGCCTCTCCGCACCCGTCGCTCCTGACGGTCTGACCGTATGAGACACAGCATATTGCGCGGGCTGCACGACCAGACGAAGGGTTTGGGGGTGAAAGGGGGTGCAAGCCTTTCTGCCTTTCCGCTGCCGTGATGGGTGTGATGCGGTCCGCGGGCTGATCGCACGCCTACGGCCTTGGAAATAGACCTGTTACAAGGAAAGGTGAGCATCCAACTGCCAAGCAATTCATTTCCAGGTGCGACCACCACACATCACAGATAAGTGACAACGTCCTACGCCAGAGCATCTGTATTTTGAACGGCCAGGTGACAGGGCGATAGTCTGGGTATGCCATGGAGGTGAGTGAAACAGGATCCCAAGGGCCAAGGGGAGAACATGCGTTGGTTCAAATGCCCAACAGGGACTCATTGCAAGGATGCAAACTGAGTGACCACCGGCATCCACCGGCTACAAATGGAAGATCATGGAAGTAGGTCACTCCAAAAACTGAATTTGGTTGTCGAGGTTTTCTCATAGACATGGCATAAGTGTGGTAGTTTCCAGCATCCAAACCAGCCCTTAGTGCACAAAAAGGTTGACTCCTCCGAAATCCCCAACCAAAAAGATGCCAAACACTGCTCCCCAAAAGTACCCCAAGTGACGTGTTCCATAACATTGGGGCAATTGGAGGGCTGGGGAGAGAGCAACGAACGCACCTTTGTTTTAATTACAGGGATCAGGGATCACTGCATTTCCCGCGTAAACACGGAGCTTTTGGAAGGTCCCATGCCACCCTTCAAAAGCAATGTTCCAAATATGAAAGTGGACAATCGTGACTTGAAGGTCAAGGTTCCGTATCATCTGAACAAAACCATCAAGAACCGCTTGGTCCGGTACATGGACTTCTAGTGTCGACTGTATGTCTACAGTACTATGTTTCCAGGCCACGACAACCAAGACTAAGACCCACTACTAAACAAACATGCAGAATAATGCATGACTAGGTGCAAACCAGACTCCAATGCTTGCGCCTATGCTGATCCCTGAAAATGTGGAGGACATGATCTTGCCAAACCTTTCTGGCAGCTTACTTGCAACACGCGAGAAACATCGGTCAAAGGAGATCAGCACACTCGGTTGTAGTGTCAAGCAACTCATTATGTCCAATTAATATAGCACTGTCAGACTGTCCGTTATCAACTCACCACCCGCCTAGCGCATCTGGCATCACCTGCGGAATTGCGCCAGGCTGAGGGAACAAAAAGGGTCTGCAAAAGAAGGATGCATGAAGTAGACTAATTATAGTGGATGGGGAGTAGGTGGCACAAGCTACCCCGATGGTGGCTTGGATGGAAACCCCCATATGCCTAAGAGATGTCTGTCAGGGGGGCCAGTGGCATCTAACCTCTGAAACCACTCTACATCCTAGCTGGCAACCGAAATCAGTGCTGGTCCGCACAGTTCCACAATTCCACACCATTCGAGAAGGCAATCACCAAGTCTTGGTACCAGGAGGAACAAAGGCCACTCTACCAATCAATTCAGAAATTGTGGGTCTATAAGTCTATATAGAGTAAAGACAACATGTGGGGGCACTCTACACATTCTGGGTGCACGTATGCTGGTTAGCGAACCGGAAAAGAAGGAACTATATGAACTCAAAGTTAACGTGAAGGGAATGATCTGATGCTTTCGGGCAGAGACGGCTGCCACCGACCTGCAGAAGACTATGGAAGTCTCCACAGGAGCAAAAGGAACCAAATGGGGGGACAATCGTTCCTACGTCCTCTGATTCTGAAGTTCAATAAATTGATCCACCATGAACTCACCCAACTCTCATGATCCAGTGCTTTTACTCCATCTGTGCCCCTCAAAAAGCCCTCCAGGACAGTCGAGTCGTGCCGCTCCTCTCGGTGCTTCTTCTCGCCTGCCAAGTCTGTCAGAAAATCCCAGACTTTGGGGCGTCGACATCTCATGAATTTTGGCTCTTGGACTTGATGGAAAACTTTTGGAACCTTCTCGGCTGTCTTCATCAGGAGACATCACGGGATAGCACGATGGCTTCACGGATCTTCACGGTGACCCGGCCACCCTTGATGGGGGATTTGGCATCGCTATTAGTAACAAGTGCGTCGCTATCGCTATGGCGTAGCTAGAAGCTAATAGTCGCTATTTGGCTATTTGCTACTAGTCGTGCACTTGTTACTAGTAGCGATGCACTTGTTACTAGTAGCTTCTAGCTACTAGTATAGTTTGCTCTTAGGTTGGATGTTCCGACTCCAGCTGGTTGGGGATCCACCCAAGGCTTGGGTTGGTATTTCGCTGGACTGAGGGGTAAGAACATGTAGGAATCGTGTCAGGGATTTCTTGAAGCTCCGCATCCCAGCACAAAAGAATGCTAAGAATGTTAGACCCTGACGGACGGACGTGCTAAGAATGTTAGCACGGACGGACGATGGACTTGATCAGTCATAGACGGACGACAAGTATCGGCCTGGAGGACATCCATGTTCTCGTATTTAAATTCCACGTCCCTTTCAGGTCCTTTAACGTCCTTTGGTTCCCGCCCAAAGCAATTTCGTCCGCAAGCTGAGTCAACATGAGTCCACCATTGTTGTATACAGTGAGTTGTACAGGGAGCGTTTTGTCCTGGAAATCTTGGGCACGTTCATCTGGTATCATAATGTAAGAATATTATGTACTCTCCCTGAAACAACCATGGAAGTGGACCAAGCCCTGTTTGTAGAGGAAAATGATCTTTCCAGGGGCCATGTTCCACTTCCATGATTGTTTGAGGGAGGGTATGATCTTGATTCATAACTTAACCCCCACTAATGGGATTCCAAGACCTCTTCAATATGGGGGGACGTTGATGAATCAACATCCTAAAAACGAGCATATCGAGCAAGACCTGTCCCGAAAACCAATAGACAACCATGTCTATTCTGTTCAAACAAGTGCTGAGACCAGTCCAGTTCTCGTAGAATCTCGTAGATCTGCACATGCGTAGGCCCTGAGACGTACGGTCAGCTCAGGCCATCGTCGCCTGGCCCAACCCCAACCCCAAACCATTGCCAATGGAACCCTGAAAAACATACTGTATACATTCAGATAACGATACATTCCAACTTGCTTTGCCAGGGACTTGCAGTTCCATGCAATTCCCATGTTGCTGGTCAAGGGGGGCATCTGGAAAACGTTCCTCCAAATTTGGCCCGCCGGAGGTAGTCCCCTGACTCTGATTTGCTCGCCATTTTTGGCCGCAGCGAAAGTCCAACGTGCGAGTGGCGATGATTCTTTGAGTGATGACCGATCTCTCCGACTCACTCCACCTCGGGGAGCCGTCAGCAGAATGGCGGACTCCGGAGCCGGATATGTTTTGAAAATCGAATGTTGACCTCGGCTGTTTCATGTTTAGTGGGGTGTCCCCAATCCTCTCAAAAGGGGTCCTTGATATCGTGAGCGTCCCATGGCACAGATCCATAAGACATCGACTTTAAAGAAGCAACATCTCTTCCCTGCCAGTCATGGAGCTACAGGGAATGGTAGAAGAATCACCTCATCTGCGGTTTTGTTGCACACCCAGCTTGAGAGGATCAAAAGGGAGGCTCTGAGCTGCAATCAGCTGGCTTGAAAAGGGACCCAGGTGATCGGATCAAGTTACTTCTGTTTATAATGGTCCCCAAATAAATAGAAACGGTTTCCAATACATTTTGAAAGGGATTCTATTGCTTTGTTCTATCCATTATAGGGTCTGCATATATACAGTTTCATTTCTTTCGATCTTTCCGGTCAGGGGCACTGGGAGAGTTCCTGCACTTTGCGACAATCCCGCACCTTCGCAAACATATGTATGCAAAAATGAACTACCACTATAAAATTAAGGCCACTGCAGACCACCAAGTGGGAAAACCATCTTCCTAATCCTACCACATGATATACACAAGCAAACTGCTGGAAAAGAACGGCGAGGACGAGGATCAACGTCAAATATAGTCCACCCTCCCCTTTCGCAATAGGCCGAAATAGGCAGAAAACAAAAATAACGAAGAAATATTGCAAATTAGAATGGAGAGACCGAGAGACCCCTCAAAGACCTTTGGGTAAGTCAAAAACATACTATATAAATCAATTGGTTGAGAGGTCCCCTATTAAAATACAAACCCATATGAACAGAAGGGGATTCTTTTGTTCGGAACCCACACACTTAGATGTATAGCTCAACAAGCATTCAGTCAGCTAGTGATTCACCGATGCATTAGCACTCTAAATCACTTCAATAGACCTTGGCTGAAGGAACGGCAAGGTGAAGAGTCGGCCAAAACTGTATTGTTTGAACATTCACATTAATAGCCCTTTATGGAAGAGTGGGGTACAGGCCAGACAGACTGATCATGTCTGGTTTCACCACCGATTGCCAAGTGTCTTCGTTAGCAGGAGACTTGCAATGGTGCTCATGCCCCCTGCTGGCAACCCTCAGAAGCAGGGTGTGACACACACACACAACTTGCGAACCATCTAACCGCACCACGGCACCGAATTAAGAATAGCATCCCCATGCAGAAGGGAATGGACCGGGGACAATCAATATCACCCGATCAACCAAACTAGGCGACCACTCAGCCGCTGACTGCTCAGTGACGTCCCACTTCTGCCGCTCTCCACGGATGCTGCAGCCGCACCACCACCACCCTGCCCGGCTTGGGACGCGAGATGCACCTGCGAGGTGTTGGGCAAGATCCGGGCCTACAAAAGACCAAGTTCCAAATTCTTGGTCCGAAAATTCTACAAAAAGTCAAACTCGGAGCTGCTCTGCACGACCCACCTGGCCCGTACGGGCTGCGGCGCTGTGCCCGCACCCACAACCGCGCCGGAGCGGTGAGCGCCATGGAGGTGTTGGGCAGTTGAGAGGATTAAGACCTCAGGCGGAGGTCGTGGTCCCACTCGGTTCTGAACAATCTGAATTTATTTGTTTGAGGAATGGATGAAAATCATTCAAGAGCCTTGGATTAACAGGGACAGCTGGAACATAGCCCCAGAAAAAGATCTGAGCAGGAACTGCAAAGACTTGCCACGCAAATTAATTCGCCGAGGTGTGCAGACATGTATATGTCATGTTTTTTGTCACCAGAAGATGTCTCATTGACACAGAACTCCTTCACTCAGGGTGAAACCAACCCATTCGCCTGTCACCCAGGGCTGAGACTTCCGTTCATCAGTCCGAAGTAGTGGATGGTGGCAGCGGAGGATGTATAAAAGCAAAGAGGATGCCTCCACCAGCTTTTGTTACCGAAGGCGCAACTCGGCATAAGACTCAAACATGTCTCAACAGTCGGCAGTTGCGGACTTCGACTTCGATGGGACAGGACTTCGTGCTATCTGCATATAAAGTCGAGTCTATAAATCGAGTACAAGTTATGGTGACATTCAAAGGCCCGAATTCAAAGGCCCGAACCTGGCGAACCATTTCAAAGGCCCGGACCTGGTCGACACACCGTCCGAACCCAACGGACGAAGACCACACGATTTCGCTCGAGAATGCCCAAACGTCGACAAACCGCTCTCTCGTGACGTAGACTGTCGGGCGTTCTGCGAAAAAGAACGGGATGGATGAGAGACGGGTCAATCACTGACCCCGCTCAGTTTCCTGGAAAATCACGGCCTGAACCTCCACCTGTTAGATTTTAGATGATTTTAGATGCTTTTACTGGGTTCTCCTCAATCCCAAGTTCAGCTGGGCAGGTGATCCACTGCGGACGGTGATCCACCGGACAATGGCACGGCCAAGCTCATCCAAGCTCACGTTCGGGAAACGTGTCGGGCGCCATTTCCTCGGTGACTGAGGCACCGCCTCCGTTGAATCACTGATGTAGCTCCACGAGCTGGGCGATGTGCCGGAGAAAGGCCAAGGCAGACATCTTCAGTGAAATGATCTCGCCTTGGGACGTTGAGGGAAACGCGAAACAAAACGTGTTGGGACGTTGAGGGAAGGAATGGAGGAAATGGACCATATGGATGACTCTGAATGGCACCTGATCATCCTACCTTGTATACCTTCTGCCCAACAAATGACCTGCAGTTTGTAGAGCTTACAAGACGGAAGGAAGAACTCTTGCACTAGCAGAAAGAGAAGACCTCAGGGCCGAACCTGGATTGGGATTCTATGACAGCTGAGGAGTTCTCTCGAGGAATTTAGGATAACTTTCGGAAAGAACACCTTCCACAGCATCTTCAATCAAGCAGCTCCCATGCGCAGCTGGCGTCCGTGAGAGGATCTCTTCATCCAAGTTCACCCGGATCAGAGTCGTTCGCCCTCCCTTGTCATTCACGTCCCGCAAAACCTCTTCACACTCCTCAAGAACCGGAAAATGTTCAAACCGAACGGACATGAAGCTACGACCAATCATGACCTGGACAGGAGCTTGCCCCACTTCTTTTCGGTGTTCTTCTCCCGGTCCTCCTCTATATTAATCAAAGACCATCCTTGATCCACCAATCTATTCTCCAGACATCTCACGGTCCCACCCATCAATGTCCACCCCAACGTCTCACGGTCCCACACAGAAGCGTTGACCGCCCAGACGTCGCTGATCTCCTCGCTCCCCTTCGTCTCCTGTCGCACCACCTCCACGCGGCGTCCCACACCGATCTCCAGGATCACCAAATGGCTCCCGCTGATCTCCTGGAGCAAGAGCCAAGGTACCGGTGAGCCCAGCGGAGACGCCCAGTCTCACTCCGAGGTCAAAAGGAAAAGTTCAAAGAACAAGGCTTTTAGGGGGAAAGCTTCTTTCATGCTGATGATCATCCCCTCTTTGCGTGGCTTTCAGCTATCTCCATGTTTCCAGCCCTATGTCAGTTTTATCTTTATCACAGGCTCCTCCTCCATGGCATCCTCCCAGCATTGGTACTGCGCCCAAGCCTTCTGAAGCTGCTGGAGCAAGGCTTCATCCTCGTCACCGAACATCAAAACACAGGGTCCTGGGAGTAGGGAAAATAAGGCACGAGATCGATGAAACAGAACATCTGGAGCCAGCTGGAGGCGTTTTGGGAACATGATGACGATTTGTCTTCCGCCAAAGAAGATCATTCAGGACATGTCGGCAAATTTGTCATGGGGTGCCAAAGCCATGTTGATCCGGAAGTCTTCATCGACGATTGATGAAGATTGCTGATAGGTTCGGAATTTAAGCATCCTGTTTCTTTTTTTACATACACGATTAAACATGATTAAACATCTGCTTCATGTATCTGATGAATCCCACATCATCTTGCAGTCTTCATCCTAGAGATGTGGAACCAGTTGCAGGAGAAACCATGCATAGCTTGGAGCTTACACTATGGATGTGGTGTAGAAGCTTCAAACACACGTACAAACCCAAGTGGATGTGATTCAATAAAGAAAACGGGAAAAACCCTCACCAACAAGGAGACCCTTGCAATTGAGAATTCATAATGGCTATAGCATCTTGTAGCGGCCGTGTTATCTGAGATCTTTTGAGTCTCTCTGTCTTAACAGAGCCACCAAACTCAACTACACTTCATCTTCACGGCAGTCACCACACGTTCGGGGTCAATCAACTGGAGCCTGGTGCGACGAGTGCTCATGTGGAACCAAAAGGCAAAAAGCTCCACACCATGATGGGTCTCCCCAGACTCTGCAGGTCAAATCCGAAAAAAAGAAAGGAACAAACGTTAAACAACAAAACAAAAACGTCACCCAGATCATCTGATCCGAAAACCACGGATCGCAGTGGCAGTCCACAATGACACTTCAAAGGCACCTCTTCCAAGCCACCTGGGGCTGTGCTTCGGTCGTCTGGGGTCGGTGTCAACCTCAACCAGAGGGTATGGCCTATAGTGGTTCCCTTACATAGATAGTGGCACGGTGTCCAAGACATTTGGATGTGGAGATTTACTGTTCTATCTATTTGGAGGTCTATAAGCTTCTATAATATAGGAAACGAAAAGAACTCAGGGACTCAGCCAGCTCCCTCCAGCCTTCCATCCGGACTGTCATAGGCTCTCTGCACGCTGTGCCTCCTCTTAAGAGTTCCTCCTGTGCCGCCCGCACCCGCGCCCAGCGGGGCGCATGGTCCGCCTCAGGCGTCAGACGAGCGGAGCAAATCCAATCCTCACAGCAGCCGTGGAGCTCACACAGGGGGAAGCCTGACAGCGATGCGCGACTTGTGGACTTGACTTGCATGATCTTTACTGGCTCTATCCCTACATCCAGATCTGGAGTACCAAGATCTCTCGTCACTCTGCTACCTACGCACCCGATTATGTTTACATACAGTAAGTGGATTTGACGGTCCGTTGACCTTTGTGTGAAGCATGAAGCATGATTTCAAACGGTGGCAAACCCTCGAAATCATTTTCCAAGTGGACCTCTGAAAATGTTGGGTCCTTGACCTCCAAAGAGCTAGTGATCAAAATTCATGCACGATCTCCATGAACATATGTTGATGGGGCGACGTTATCATTCCATATGATCTCTGCTTCAGAATGATTTTTCCCGTCTATATGGTATATATACTAATATACAAAGCAAGGCTACCACCAAGAGCAATTCAAACGTCGGTATCGAACAATGGCCGCAGCTTGGTGATCTAGTCAACTAGTCCACTTATATCAACTTGTAACTTATTGCTTCCAAACGTACCAGTGAGTCAGTGAGTGTTACTTAACACGCCAAGCTCCCTGGTCGATCAATCGACACGGGGAAAGGGCCCTCACTCACACGGGGAAAACGGTCGAAGCTTCTGTGACCGTTACCGGTTTATGAAAGGTGCCGATGGCCGATGCTTCTTGAATGAGTTTGGAACACATCAAAAGAGCTTCACAGAAACCATAGGGTTCACCAAAACCATACAGTTGCAAATCATGCTTTAATTCGCCTTATGGCCTTCTGTTTCTATAGGCAAACCATGGCAAACCTATCCCAAACTTCCTGGCCTGACGGCCGCCTAAGGCAAAAGCTTTTGACCCGGCCCGTTGGAGGCAGCACCCCAAAACATCCCAGGACGAAACCCAGGAGTGCTTGTCTATGCGAGTGCTCGTCATGCTAGCCTGTTAACTTTGGTCCTTGGTGGGAGAGGTATACCTGGCAAATCCTAGCAAATCCTCAGACCCCCTTTGGTCCTTGGTGCTACCAGCCATAGCAGGCCTCGCAGCTGTCTCAAATGACCGTCCACGTTGCTGGTGTAAAGATACCTCGGCGACTCGGCTGCTGTGCTTCTTGGCTGAAAAGAATGGGATTGCTAAGACGTTGAAAGTGGACGAAGAGTTACGGAACTCTGAAAATGCTCTGCGTCACGATTGCTTCAAGATGAGTCACATCTGCTGTGCGTCCGTTGCCGGAGTTCTGTCTCTTTTTGCGGTGGAAGTGGTGAAAGTGTGAGGTCGGGCACCTTTTGGTCTTGCGGAGCGCTACTGGAGGATGGTAGAGGATAATGACGTGCTCAAAAAAGACTAGATCGTTTTCACAGCGGTACGCGCGTACCAGCGCTATGGGTCATCTTTGAGAGTTCCTAGATATATATAACTCTTTCAGAAACCTCTAAAACAATGTAAAACCATGTTCAGATGAAATTGTTTAACGCTGGCCAGAATTGCGATTCCTTGCCCGCCCGCAATGGGTGTTGGTGCTGCCAACAAGTCCCAGAAGACTGTGAAACACAAAGCCACCAACAAACCAAGATGGTCCTGACGCCAAAGAAACCACTGTCACTAATTATCTATGTTCTCAATGGATATGATGGATGGTCAAGATGAGTTCTTCTCCAAAGGGACCATGGAATTGTGATAAGGTGAGCGTACCCATGTCCATCTGCGGAATTAAGATCATCCCGAATCCTGAGATATCCTGAATATGAGGATTGGTCGGCAAAAACCTATGGTTTCGGTGAGCCTCCCTGGTTTCAAACGTAGAGGGGAAGGAGTCCAAACATGACACCAGAGATTTGGTCCATCATACAATACCATGGGGCCTTGCAACATTCTATGTACACAAAGCGAGAGAGAGAGAGAGTCACAAAGCTTCTGCTCCTTCAACCTCCAAAGACACACTCGGCCCATATCTGCTCGTTCTCGCAGTAGGCCTTCCAGAACTTGGAAGCCTTCGTGCGGCACTTGAGCACGATACTTCAGCAAGCTGCTGAGCCAAAAGTTCTGGAAGCGCTCAGTGTCCTGATCAGAAGGACTGGAGGGCGTCCGGCACAAAACATCCGCCCAAAACGAATAGAAAGGTTCTACAGTAGTCAAAAAAGCTCTAATTCAACGCAAGCACGTTCACTCTGGAGCAATGTGGTTTCAGACGCAAGGTCTGGAAGTTGAACATGTTCACATTCTCTCATCTTGGCGTTCAAACTTTGTGCAACTTGGGTGGCTGACGATCCCTCACAGTCAGTCGTGAACGCGCACGCCGTCTTTTGCACCTGTCTCCTTATGCGATCAAAATTCAACCTCTACGGGCGTTCTGAGCCGCATGCAAACAGTGAAGAGAAGCAGTTAAAGAGTTGAATGGGAAGATGGAGGGAAGCTTCCCGTAGGAAGATCCCAAGCCTTATGTTTGGTTCATGTTCTGGTTTTGGCACTTTCCACTCCTTACGATCCACGACATGTCCTCAGGAACTAATGACGTCTTGGAGTTGTCACCCTCACTGGAGCAATTGGCCGCATCAAAGGTCACTTCTCCATGGTCAAAGCAGGCATTGCGCTTCCAGGTGAACAGGGAGTGGCTGGCATTCATGATCCTGGCTTTGAGAAGCTTCAGTCGGAACAAGTATGGCGTATGGCAAGCAAACACTTGCGGCTGACATGTTCAGCAAAACCTACAGAGTCAAGAGTTAAGCAGCAAAAACTCACAAAAGAAAAAGCGTTACACGATGACATCAAGGAAATCGCTGAGAATCTCCAACTCTCCGATGCCAAAGGCGCCCTGCCGAAACGCCGACCATGAATCAAAGGCGTTCACAAATGGCAACCAATGTGAGTATGGCCCTTCACGATTGCCTCAGATAGCGAGGAAGATTGCTTGACGAACCTTTTGCTTCCGTCCGATTCTGTTCCCCCAAAGAACATATTGTTTGAACCCTGAGTAGGCTTGTGCTGTGGTGTCAACCAAGAAAACATAAGAAATCCCCTGATACCCCCCCTCCTGCTTTCTTAGTGTGTGCTCTCAGGCACCTCCATCCCCGATGTTGATGTAAACAGGACCGCAGCTGCTGGTCTTGTTCTTGTAGACAGGCCAGGTTCTCTCAAAGGAATGGACGTGCCCCGCGAGGACAATGTTCACGCCATGCTGGAAGAAGAGCACCTGGTTTCAAGCTGAGCCATTGAGTATCTGGAGTACTTCTGGAGCCGGGACATCTTACAACAGTGCCCCTTTGGGTTGCACCGGCATCATTTGGGGGTCAGATACAAAATCTCTGACCACTGGAGTCAAAGGGGACTTGGCTGTGGAATTGTGGAACTGTCCCAGTTTGGTCACCCAGAGCCTCCATGTTCTCCAGCATGACTTTGGCCTCACCTGGGCGTCATGGTCGCATCCGTTGACATTACAAAATAATGTTTGTTAGCAAAATGATTAGTAAATAAAACTTACTTGAGAGGCGGGGAACGAAAGCGATGACAAGGACGAATGTGAGAACACCTTTAAAAATCCCCTGGGGATGAAGTTTGTGATGTCGTAACCGCTTGGGGGGGTCCTATTGATTCACTTCACACGAAGTGGGGGGGGCGTTGGTAGTGATGTTTCAATTGATCCCTTCGATTTTGACCCATCTAATAGTAAACTGAAACTTCAGCTGACCTCCTTCGGAGATCGCTTTCGTGATAGCACAAATGTTCAAACAATAATGATAAGACATGCATATGATATAAATTATATGCACAAACAAAACATGCAAAGATCGACTCTTGTAAATTCTTGTAATTTGTGTTACATGCCTGCATCTCCCTTCCTGCCAATTGAACATAACAAAGCTGTGGATATCCCAACTCCTGGTCATGGTCTATCCCTCCCAAGCACCAGCTAGCTATTGTTTCAGCTACAATTGGATCTGAGATTGGATATCCCACTGATTTTTCCCGTGCCCTGGTACCATCATTTACACCGTGAACGTCGTTGGGCATTAAACCGGCCTTCACAGCAAACACATGGGCCTATCTGAAGATGGTTCAACAATCTCCTTTGTTGGCGTCCCTACTCGCGATAGAGCACAAACACGAAGCAAAGGTTGCATGTTTAACAGCTTTCTTCTGGGTCCTTTCCCGTCACTGACCAAGATCCACAAAGTGGTGTGCAATTCCATCATCCTTCCCTTGCAGTCTGACCTGGGTCCAACTGACCAGCACTAAGTCCACCAAGTGGCCATAGTGTCCAAGGTTCGAGTTGTACCAGGGAGCATGCATCATGACCACCAGCCAGGGAGTCTTCTCGCGATTAAAGTCCTTGAAGTCTCCTGACTTGGCCGTCAAATTGATGAATCTTTTGGGAGTCTGTTCACTTGGACCCCTGAAAAACGGGTCACCTGCGCCTGTAGAAGACGCGGCTTCTTTAGAAAAACGTGGTTTTCGGGCCCATGCAAGTCTCCCAATGAAACACCAGATGAAGGGAAGTCGCCCATGGTGGACCTTGAGCGCCCATGTGGACCTGTTCTAGATAATTTTTTTTGTTCTAGATAGTTTTGTTGATGTTTCTTTAGTTTCTTCATGTCATGTCTCAGCTCAGTCTCTTTCCAACCACGTGTATTGAAAGCTCCCCGGTTTGGATGACGCATAGCTGTTTAGCGACACCACATGCATCGGGCCGATGTCGCGGCTCCAGAAGTTGGGATCCTCAGAAGATCGGCGGCATCCACCGAATAGGCCGAAGAAAACGGTGATGGCTCGACATATGATATATATACACTACACGTTGGGCCTATCCGATTATATACTTACAAAAATGGATGATGATGATGATGAGGAGGAGGAGGAGGGTGATGATGGTTGGTAAGGGCCTTGCTCAAAAACAGTGACAGTTGTTTACTGACTGTTACAGGTTGTACGAAAAACCCACGCCACGAGGCGACTCGCTAACATGGAAGTGGAAAGAAAAAGCTGGTTGGAGAGGACATGGTCATCCAAGGGGCCAGTCTCCACGTGGATGTTAGTGAGTCGGAGTGTACCTTCCTCTTCATGAGGGTCTCTCCCAAAAATGGACTCTTCAAAGTTTCAAGAGGGAGATGTCACGAAAAGTCGACTTTAGACCACCAAAACACGACATTCCCTTGTGCCTGCCATGAAAAGTGATCACCAAGTGCGAAAATGTGCACAGCACCACAACAAGAGCACAGTCTTGAAGAGCCCAAGCCCAGCGCAGTCGAAATGCACTTCGAAGATTTCGAGGTCAATGTACTGTAAATAGATGTAAATAGCAGCGAATTAGCCGCACTCGGATGCGAGCACCTTGATCAGACACCCGTCCTTAACAGCTACCGTAAGAACTCCATCCGTGTGAACACAGTGTTTGGGGAAAAAAACATCCGGTCCATGGGTCTGTGACCTTCCTGGCTGGATGACACATAACACATACACATATATATATATATTTATATTACATCATATATTATATATATATACACACCCCTTCTTGTTGCATTTGTTTAAGGGTGAAGAATAAATGCAAAAATATGTAATTATTATAGGTTATAGGTCATCATAAAGAAGCATCCAACAATGTTCTGCATTCTGCATGTCCCTTTCTTGCACGCCGCCGACGACCCTGCTGTGTCGGTTCTTCTTTGTCTTTCTTTTCCCTGAAAACCTCCGCAACACCATGAGGTCCCTGCTGCAAAGGAGCCGTTGAGCCTGACTGTGTGAATGGCATCGGATATCGAACGTTGTAGCTCTTGAAAGCCTGACAAGGCACACGGATGAGACACCAGTTCCATGGAAAGAGACTCTCCGAAAGAGCTCCACCCAACGGTTTGTCATGCTTTGCCTTTTCCAGAAGAATCCCCCCATGTCCGACAAAAGAACGATGCTTGTGTTGCTGCCCTAGGTAATTCGGTCAGGCCAGCAAAAGTTAGCCACTCAAAGAATAATATGTGAATCATATCAGTATGTATAAATATATATATATATAAATCAGTATATCAAACCGTGGGAAGTGGTTGAAACATGTTGGAACCAGCAGGTGCCTCCATCGGTTGCAGCAGCTTTGTCTCCAGTTAAAACATGTTAACAGATGTCAAGAGAATCAGACCAAAACATCGTGGTTGGATGATCGTGGATGATGGATGATTGCAGTTCTGCCACACAGCATTAGCAGGGCATGAACGGCTGGGAAAGTGCCCGCAAGTGGACGGATGCTTAATTCAAATTGTGGCTGCCTGCCTCGCAGCTCAATAGAAGAGGGAAAACCTGAAGCCATTGGTAGCCATCGGCTTGGTTTGGGGGTCCCTGGTCCCTTCAATTGTGAATCTCAAGAAACCCGCCGGGCCTGCCTCAGCAGAGCCATACTCATGGTTGCCGGGGCAAGTCATCACAGGGATTTTGGCTCCCAATGGCTCGAACATGATGCCAAAGGAGTCCCAACGTGGATAGAAGCCATCTGCATAGCTGAGATCTCCCGTGAGGAGGACCACCTCTGGCTTCAAGCCGCTCAACAAGTGCATGCTGGAGTTGGACACTGGTGTCTGTCCAATGTCGCCTGTGAGGCCTACTCGATAGGGATACTTCTGACCATCAGGTGGCATTGTGAATTCAAAGGTTCGGTCGTCATTCTCAACCTGATACATGTATGTGACCCCAGGTTGCAAAGCTGTGAGCACCACAGTGTGAATGGCTGGAGAGTCATAGCGTTCGCTCGGGTTCTTGTACCATCCCATCTTGTCGTGGTCCACCTGCTGCACTCCAATCTCACGCCAGGAAGGGTATTTCCATCCCGTGCGCGGGTCAAAGGCCCAGTCGGAGGTGCTCCTCACTGGTCATTTGAGGTCATTTGTCCCACCCTGGAGCCCGGGAGTTGGCGCAGGTTGCAACGCGTTTTTGTGTTTCACATGAGTTTTCCAAGTGGACACATAAAGTGAACCAAGCACATCTAATCAAGCCAGGAGCGAATTTGGCGAAGCAAAATAGAACCGTCTTGCAAAGGGTCTCAGTAACAGTTTCTTTTCTTTCAACAGCCAAGATTCATGTCTTTGGCCACTATTTCTTGTTCCAGCCCATAGCCACCTCGGATAGGGGGCTCCCACAGATCTGCTCTCCAGAACATGAGTTGGGAGTAGGTCTCGGTCTTTCCAAGTGCTTCAAGGTTCAACTCCCCCTTGCCATATCGAACGCGCGACTTCGTGGAGACCTGTTGGGAGACAAAAGACACCACCATTTCTCCGGGGCCACCCAATTGTACATGGACCTGTCCACTGCAGGGTGGCTCTTGGCACTTCTTTTGTTCCGGAAATGTGGATGAATGCAAGTCCACATGGTTCTTGGGCCGCACATAGGAGCTCGTCTTGGGCTGCGCCTGTGCGGGAGCATCAGAGCGGGGAAGTACTTTCTGCGCACCGAGCTGTAGCATGCTCATCGTACAGCCAGACTCTTGGCATTCATCTTCTGCGTCCAGGTAGTCTCCAGCAGCGACAGTAAAGAAGAGAGTCCAGATAATTTTGAACATATTAGTAGGTCCCATCACAGCCGGATTTCAACTGTGGGGAGTAGTTTCTTCACAAAGGGCTATCTGACTAGTTGAGCAGAAGACAGCCGCAGAACATCTTATATACAAATGCATACAAATTCAGAAACAATTACAAGATCATCATGGGTATGCAAGAAGCTTCAACATACTCTCAAAAGTACCCTCTGGGGAACCACCTTTAAGCTGCGTTATTCCATGTTTGAATCCAATCTCAGCCTCCAAGCGCGCCACGACCCATCGCAGACCCATCGCAGCCGGACCGCCGCAGGCGCCGCGCGCTGCGCGCTCTCCTCGTACAATAGCTCTGCTCGACAGAGCTGGTCGTAGTCGGGGCCCAGGGCTTCGTAGGTCTCCAACCCAGAATCCGCACCTCACTCGACACAGAGAAGGCTGGGATGGCAAACAGAATCAGCAGATCTATGCAGATCTGCGGATGAATCAGAATCCAACAGAATCAGCAGAACCAGATCAAAGAATCAGCAGAGGATCTGGCAGACAATCAGCAGATCTGTGGCATTTCTGAAATCTTCTCTACCCAGGCGCTTAAGCCTGCTCCACTGGCCACCAACACCCAGTCCGCCTCCATCAAGGCGCGAGCTGCCCGTGCCAAGGGCGAAGAGCTTTCGTTCTCCATGGCATGTGTCGTGGATGTTTACCTTTTGAGCGCAGCGACTTTTTGCGGGTAGGCGAAGATATAATGATATGATATCAATAGACTATTATATAATATTATGTATAATTATATAATAGACTTATGCTTTTGTATTTTATATTTGTATCATAAATACCACGACTTTAAGGACTTCAAGGCTGCTTTTCGGTCCTGCTCGATTGTCCAGCACAGCTTGAGGATCGTGATCAAAAGAGTTGTTTGCCAAATCGGAAGGCTGTGATCACCTTGATCCACCGCAACCAAACAACTCTTTTGATCACCAAACAACTGGGGGAGTGTCTGGACTCGTTGCGGCCTTTTCCTCCGAAACGAACGGACTCCGTCTCCCGTCTCCCGTCTCCCAACACCGGACCGAGGACCGACGCCAACGCCGGCCGGTCGCGACGCCTGCGTTGGTTGCCGGCAGGTCCCGAACCTCAAGAGACCGCGGAAAATCCCAAATTGAACAGGTGAAGGAATCAAATGATTTTGTTTTTCCATGCTTCAATCTGATTTGATTCATCTTTGTGCGATAGAAAGGATGTCATGGAGGATGTCATGCTTTTTTGTGGCATGAAAGATGTCTATGGATGTGATGTGTTCATCCTGAATACGTACTAGCATACTTAGTACTTGAGCTCTTCATGAAGGATGATTGCTGTGTGAAGGGATTGATGAAACCCCTTCATCCTGGATCACCCAATGATGCGGAAAATCCCTTCAGCTCTTGATGAAGATTTGGATGGATCCTTTGTGATTCTACAACTAACTGCTGCCACTGGTAGCATGCGGTAGCTCAGCTGGATTTTGGGATGTCTACTTTGTGAAGTGAGGGAGAAACCATGGAAGTGTCTGTCAACCATTAAAACCACCACCATGAACTATTGTTGGTTTCATTCGACCGCTGGGGACTCTCATGGACTCTCTACCCATTGAGGGTCCCGAGATCGCGTCGCGGACGCCGCGCGACGACTTCGGTTGACCATTCAGAAAAACTGCGACGACTTCGGTTGACCATTCAGAAAAAACTTGTTGGTGCTGCATGTGATCATAGGTTTAAACAAAAGGTGGATGTTGGCGCAACTGGACCTCGTGTTAAACCTGGCGGGACATTGATGTTGTACACGGTGGAGCAGCACAATGTTTTCGCAATCAAATGCAAATAGTATCTCTTCCAAGCAAACTCAGATTTGCAAGAAAGAACTGAATTCCAAGAAAGAACTGAAATCCAAAAACCCAACCAGACCCAAGAAGTATCTCTTCCAATACAAACGGGGTGGTTGGAAAAGGTTGGAAAGCGGTGTGCCCGGAGGCTCAACAAAAGCATACAAAAGCAACATTCATGTTGGTTCGGATCTTCCGTCTTTTATGCGGGTAAGAAGTTACTTACAGCATCCCAGACTACCTGTAACTTCCCAGACTTCCCTGTCAGGAGGTTCCAGGTTGAACAAACAAATTCCAGAGAGTCCATGCCAAACACAAATTCCAAATCCTTCAGCCTTTCATTACCGAAACCCTCAACAAAACCACTATCCAGAATCCAGATCAAATTCTTTTTGTAACCGAACCTGTTCAAATTACCGACACCACAGCTGCGAATCAAGGTCCCAGACCAAAAGCAGGACCTGTCCGCTTTCAGCCAACGAGGCGCGTTTGCGGAGCCAAGGCTTAGCCGGCCGGTCTGCTAGTACCTCTGAGTTCTTTCTGGTACAATCTGGAACCAAGGGTTCACCTTCAAGATGATGCCGAGCCCGACTCCATCCATGCACGAACCCATGCCATGTCGACCAAACGATGCGACATGGCCAATCCGAGAACGATCCTGTCGGATGCTCCAAGAACAGCAGGAACAAAATACGTCGGTTCGTCGGGTCGCTCGTATGGTATCCTTCGTTGTTTTCGCTTGTGATCACAAACGCTGGGTGTGAGTCTTCTTAGCCTTAGCCATCTAACGACATTGTGTTTGAATTGTTAAGAACACGAGAATCACGACAGTTTCTTAGTCTGGGAGGAAGAAAGACCTTGAGTCTCCCTGGAAGAAACGCCCCGGTGCACCGAGCATGCTGATCCGATCCCCCAACCACTTCACCACACAGTACTCAGGAACTTGAAAGGAAATGACCATCTGGTACACCTGGTCTCAAAGGAGGGAGACATCTCATATTGCGTTATGCTTTAAAAAAATGCTTTGCAGTACAAACCTCCGCCGTCGTTAAGCTCTTCAGCTCTTCAACTAGCGGAAGACACCACGGAACGCAAGCTTACGCGACCTGATCGCGGTCTCGGCTCCGGAAGGGGCGAAGGGAACCACAGCGGTCACTGCCCTGTGGCCCGGAGACGGCTTCCTCCTCCGAATCTCCATGGCCCGGAGACATGTGTCAACAAAAAGCTCTCGATTCTCAACAGGCAAAACGGACAAAACACATGTTCCATCATCTTCCGCTGTTCTTGGCTTTAATGTTTGTTGCATCCCAACTCCTGCTTCCACCAACTCCGCACTCCCGTGACCCGCCCCATACCACGCGCCTGATTCTGGGGCAACGGCCAGGTCGACTCGATCACTAACGAGGACGAAGTGACCTGCAAAGGTCCCCCCTGTTCGCCGCTCAGCTGAAGACCCACTCAGTTGGGTTGGAGGTGGTTTTGGGCACCGGCACCATCCACTGTTGCGGGTACCTCCAACTGCTGGCGCCCTTCTCTGTGCCTAAAACTCATCTTCTTTGTCATTCTTCACCAATTATTGAATTACCTTAAAATGTTAGACAAGCACCAAATTTGTGATGCATACCGGGCTTGAGCGAGTTGACCTTGAATCTATTATTTAATGAAACTTTGTCGTAGTCCAGCCGATGGCCGCTGGCGCGGAACTTTGAGGCACCTGCCAGGCTTGACATGGTTTGGTTACAATCTCGTCTTCCAGAACAGCTACATCTGGATATGAAGAGCTTTGAACAACATGTCTTGCAGTGCTTGCAAGAGCATGCGAGGTCCTGCGACGGAATGACTTCACAAGCTCACAAAGAATTAATTGTCAACTTAAAGCGATGGCCTCCAACCTAAGAGCGATAGCCTCCACCCTGGTAGCGATGGCCTCCAACCTAGAGCCCTGAAACTGTAAGACCTTTTTGCCAATCCTCAGGACGGCGTTGCCAGAACAAGCGCCTCCAGTGCCGCTGCTAGCTGTTCCTGCCAGCATGGAGCAAGTGGCAGTAAACTGCTACTCACTTCTTGTACTCTCAGAACTACTTCTCTCTGAAAAAACTGCACTATAATTCCACTGCAAAGGATGCTAGCACTGTCGCTGCACCTATTCTTCCTAGTTCTGCACCTGCTCCTACTCAGACTCCTCTTCCTGATCCAGCTGCTGCTCAGCCCACAATAAACATGTTTTAGAGGGTTTTGCATGGCTCTCGAACGGCCTACAACTCCTACGAGGCGAGTCTCCTCAGTTTCTGGGATCCACATCTGCAGACCCATCTCCTCGAACGGTTTTTGAGGTTCTGGATGGTTCTGGGTAGCTGCTGTGAGAGTATTCATGAGGTCTGAATTAAAGTCATTCTGCGATACAGACCCAATCCTGAAAAAGCCAGTGATGCTAGCTAAGCTGCATTGCACTGTTAGCATCCATTAGTCTATTGGCGCTGTTCGTTTGTGATGTTTGCTCCTTCAGACTTGGTCTTTTGGGCTGCGCACGACCCCAACAAACAGATTCACCCCTGAAACCGTTCTTCCCTTCATGAGACAATGGATGCATGTGTGGTGAAAAAAAGAAACAGGACATGAAACAGTGATTCTGTTGCTATGTGTTGCTTGTTGTTTGTGTCCTGCCATTTGATCTGACTCAATTCATAGCTCTTCCGAATGGCCATCTCGTGAGCCGCGCTCTCAGGCGGCCCGTCCACCGGCTCCGCCACACGACCCGGTTCGCCTGTCGGAGCGAAGTGCGTGCAAGAGCCCGGCACGCCTGCGGTGCAGAAATGCCACGAAAAGAAAACAAAAACAGTGGCAATTGTCAGGTTCTTCAGTTTCTTATGTTGAAAAGCTCGTTTTCTTGATGGTTCTGGACACAGTTTCTTGAGTTTGTGACCTTTTTGGAGCCCCTGTTTGTGACCTTTTACAGGTCCAAGTGACTTCACCAGGCGATCAAGGTGCAGTCACTTTGAAGAACTAGGTTTACCAACTCCAGATAGGCGAAGAGTTCAATACATGCATATCATTCCTGCGGGCCTGTGGACATTTGTGCGCCACAGGAAATGAGGAAAGGCATCGAATATCAAATGCTTTGAAAGCTTTGAAAGGTTCATCATCACTTAGTAAGAGGCTTAAAAACACAAGCAAGCCCGGCGATTGAAACACAAGCAAGCCCTGCGTTTGAAACACAAGCAAGCCCGGCGTTTGAGCTTGTGCAACCAAAAGTTGTCCGTGCTCATGTCCATGCTCGTTCTTGCAAAGAGCGTTCGTGCTTTCCAGTGCGAGTTTCATGATTTGGCCCCTACGTGCAAGGTTTCTAGGCTGACCTGTACTTCCTCACAAGGAAAACAGTTTTTGAATGTATATACATATAAATATATAAATGATATATGATCACTTAGGATACACAGCGGACAACGCTGGGTTCCAAGCCAAAGACCGAGTCCATGAATTGTTCAGACTTGTTCCTTCAACAGTGTGAGCTGTTCCTTCGGCATCCGGAACTTCTTGGCCACCCTCCCTGGGCCTCAGTCTCACCTGACAGGAACAATCAAGACGGTGCCAAGGGAGGACCGTCTTGCAACCGAATGGTGTGGCCGAACATGGGAAGACCCCACCAAGAAAACGATACCACAAGCCTGTAATGCTTATTGGCCAGGAAATCAAGGAGGACACTGAGGGGACACTGAAGGCCATGTTTGGGTGCCCCGGACAGTCCCCCAGCATCGCACTAAGCTCTGCGGATGTGACCCATCTGCCCTACCCGAACTAAGAATCTGGTCTAGACAATGGGTCCAACCCGTCGACCAAACCCTGCAGTGGATGAACAGTCAT